ACTACCTGTTCGTGGCCTTTTATATTTTTCTGTCAGGCTGTCTTTTTCTTCTTATTTCCCATTAGCTCTTGGTAAAAGAATTAGCCCCATGTCTGTTATGTAATGCTGTTAATATTTGTCCCAGCCATAAACCCATTTGTGGTTTATCTTTTTTCCCCTCACTTTCTTTCCAGGGCTAAAAAGCACAGACTCTGCCCTTCTAAATGAATTAAACGATGTATGGCAAGTTTACATTGTTACATGTTACGTACATATTTCTTGATGATGTGGTCACCCCCGACCTAGCATGTTTCCCCCCCCCCAGACATTTCTGTATCTCCCCATTAGGAGAACAATTTTTCAAGAGCTCCCTTTGCAGAGCCAGGGTAGGGCTTTGGTGAAACCGAGCCAGAAGCTTGAAAGTGGGAGTCACAGGAAGTGCGGTATCGTTAACAGAAATGCTTAACCTCGGAGGACTCCTTGTCTTTCTCAAAGTCGCACGAGTCGCAGGAGAAATGCCACCTTCCCACAGAGCACCAAGATGACCTCTGGGGCCGTGTTGCCATGTTGAGACCGGCCCTGCATTCCTGCGCTAGTACAGGACCATCAGGCCTGGACGAGAGCCAGGGCTGGATCCTCGGGAGCCATGGCTAACCTGTCACCGAGCCGGACATATGCACTGGGTGGAGCCGGCCTCCTGGGGACAGTGCTACAGGCCTGGATGTGCCCTGCGCTGAGTTTTAGCACAGACCCCGGAGCTCTCTGGTCTAGCCCGGCACCCTTTCTGCCACAAAAAGTGCAAATCTATAAAAAAATCTTTGTGTTGACAACAGATCTTTCTCCTTTCGAGGCCCTTAGGTTTTATAACCTGCTTCGAAAAGCCTCTCTCATGCCAGAATGATGGATGAACTCATCTGTATTTTCGTCTACAACTTTTGTACTGTTCCTTTTTATAGTTTTTCTTTGATCGAGCAAATGTATCTTTTATAAGGAAAACTAGCCACAGGGATGAACCTTGAGGACGTTATTCTCAGTGAAGCAAGCCAGTCACAAAAGGACAAGCGCTGTACGAGGCCACTTACAGGAGGTGCCCAGACTAGTGAGGCTCGGAGACTGAAAGCTGAACGGCGGCGGTGGGGCGCCCGGCTGGCTCGGGGGTGGGGCGGGGCACGCCGCTCTTGATCTTGGGGTGTATAGAGCTTACAGTTCACAAGATGGAGAGAGCTGGGCGGATAGTGGTGGTGACGGTTGCAGGACAGCGTGAATGTACTCGACACTTAAAAATGGTGACGATGGTCCATTTTATGTCAAAACTCACCCAACAGGTCACTGAAGAATTTGTGCCTTTCCCTGAACATAAAGTATGAACGGGCAGTAAACTCACATCTTTATTCTTCACCGAGTTGCGATCTAGCATGTAAGGGGCAGCTCTTTCTAGAGCCCCCATGGGCCCCTGGCCCAGCCACCGTTGCTAGTGCGGTCACCTCCTTCCTCACTGGGCTTCCAGCTCTGCCCTCACCCCTCCACCCCTACCCTGCAGCCTGTGAAAACCTAAGTCTGATCACGGCCCTCTGCTCAGACCCTCCCATGGCTCCGGCTCACTCAGACTGAAGGCGAAGTGCATCCTTTCCGAAGCCTATGAGCCTCCCAAACAGCCCTGACCTCACCTCCTCATTTCCTCCTCGTCCCCCTCTGCTCTGGCCGCACCCGCAGCCTCCTCCTCACCTTTTCTCAGCCGCACGGGGCATTCTTCACGCAGACTCTTCCCTCTGCCTGGGATGCTGTGCCACCAGCCGGCCGCCTGTCTCCCTCCCTCACTTCCTGCCTGTGTGTTCAGATGTCACCTCCTCAAGGAGGCCCTCCCTGACCACTACATGAAACAGCCAGCGCTCTCTCCCACATACGCACTCCCTCGTCTGGACCCTCTTCTGCTGTGTATCTCAGCATTGGACTCACCACCCCTTCGGTATCTGCAGCTTGGTGTGTGCCCGTTTCTACCTCCCAGCGGAACGCCAGTCCCAGGATGGCAGGAATCTTTGTCTGGCTCCCGGCTGTCACGGAGCTCATGCCCGACACCTCGGGGCTGGCTGAGCTCATGGATGAGCACGGACACGGCCTTCGGGGCCTCAGGGGTCTACACGGAGGCTCTTGGCATCACTCCCATCTTCCCCAGAGGAATGGTAAAGGCCCAGCCTTGCTCCCAGCACAGCCCTGAGCAGAATGCTGGCCCCCTCCCAGAGAGGGACTGGGAGGCTTCCTTTCGGACAGCCGACTTGCCGGCATCTCCCTGGTCCCCATCCCTGGGTGGCCCCCAACTTCAGGCCCAATGAGCCTTCCAGATTCTACTGCCAGCCTGGGTGAACTAGAGGGAGTGCTACATCTCGGGAGGTACTCAAAGACATTGGCCGGATACGGCTTTTCCATGGAGGGAGAAGGGAAAAGCACCCAATTGATAAACCTAGTACCCAGGCCTCTCTGTGCCTCTACTTGAGCACCGCATTCACTCCCCTGTCCCCAGATGCCTTCTTCCCTTTTGGTCTCTCCAAAGGTCACCTCCATTGACCTTTCAGAAAACCTCGCAGGGGAGGGTGCTGGGCAAGAGAAAAACTGAATTTGTAGCTGAAAAACCTGCTTCTGTCTGAGGGGAGGGGAGGAAAGGGTTTTCCTCTTCCAGCTGCTCTTCGAAACGAACTAACATTTTCATCACGTCACCAGATACCTGTTCCCGAAACTTCTGGAAACCCCAAGATCTGGGAGAGAGCCTCTTGCGTGGGTGGCAGGCCACGGACAAAGAGGACACCTCGAAGGCATCTTTCGTCAGGGAAAACTGATGATCCTTGCAGGATTGACAACAGCTCGTGCCAGGCTGGGAGTCTAGGATGGCGAGGTGTTCACTGGGGGTGCGGGGGGGGGGGGACCCTCTTCTCAAAAAATCCAAGACCTCACCTAGAAGCGCGTCTGCAGACTTAATTAGCTACATTTTACTTTGTAACATACACGTTTACCTTTACCCATCATGGCAGCACCTTTTAACACAGTGAAGACCCAATGGGCCCAATTTTGAAACCAGGTGCCGGGGAGTCCCCGGCTCTCCTCACCTTGAGAGGCCAGCGCGCTCCTGCCTTTTGCACAAACCCAAGGAAAAACCTCCACGCGCACGGATGCGATGCACAGGAAAGAGCTGCCGCCGGAAACCGGTTTCTTCCCTCCTCCCCGCCCCGCGGCCAGGCATCTTCAGTTAAGACTCACCCAGGTTTTTGGAATTAATTGTCACAAGACGTTTATTTTCAAGTTGGAATGATTAACAACATCTAACAACTGTTCACATTCCCGAGCACAGAAACTGAAGTCAGGAGAGAACCCCTGGGCTCATGGACGGGCTAAAACTCCGCGGGAAGAGAAGGATTACTAAGCGCCACGGGAACGGGCGGACGGGGTGGCACACGGCTGAACACCGCAGCGTACCAAGGGCGTGTGAGTTACAAACGGAGACTTCTTCCAGAGTGCTGCGCTACAGAGCATGCGCGGGACGCCGCCTCTCCCACTCGCAACCTCGCTCTCATCAGCCACCCTTACAAGAAGTCCGGCTGTATGCAAACATATGGCAGAAACAACTCACTGGAGACCTGCGCAAAATCAGGCTCACTTAGGAACACAAGGTAACATTCTGATTGTCTCCTATCTGACGGGTTTGGCTTAGGACGAGTTCAAGTTCCAGCTTTTTTTTTTTTTTAAGACATGAGAAAAATAGATTGGGATTACATCTTTGAGCATGCCTTGGGCCTCCTGGGACACTGAGAACCACGGATGTTGGGTATCCCGCCCCCCTCCCCTACACACACACACACACACACACAGACACGGTATGCTAGTCTATTCGGAGAACAGCAATTAACAGCCGACTTTTTAAAGAATTTTTTCCCTTTCTTATTATAATGTGAGACGTGTTGTCAGCCCCGAAGATGTGGAGGGTTTGGTGGCGCTGGATGGACTTAGGGCTGGGAAGCCAACAGTGCCTGAGTCCTTCCCTACCGATCACCCCTCCTCCCCACAGGCTTCCTGAGAGCATCTGACTCCAACTGGGAATCCAAGTACCGGTTTTATTGACAGAACCTAGATCTCAAACACTTCAAAGCCTAAGCGCACACTCTTGTCCTCCGGAACTAACTCCTGGGACCTTCCTGCCTTCTGGCCGGCTAACAAGGATGGAAGCGGAAGAACACCCGCACCAAGAAAGGCAGGTCTGCTTTGAAGATGTCCGCTTAATTTCCTGGTGGGCGAAACACAGAGAAGATGGGAGAAAACTCCAGGCCCTGCATGCAGATGCCGGCTCACTCTCCAGGAAGCAGGGAACAAGGATGAGAGGCAGAACATGAACAGGGACCCTGCCTTTGTAAGGAAAAGTGAATATTCTAAGATTCTCCCAGTCTGCTTAGCGACTCTCCAAACTCTGAAGGTGAGTTGAGGGGGAGGGGCAAAAGCAGGGCTGGCAGAGAAAAGAGCAGAGAGGTGTACCTCCCTCCCTTAATCTCTCCCACCTAAGAGCTTGCAGATGGTTTTCCTCTGAGAGTCCCATCTCCCCAAACTGGGTTCCTACAAGTCAAAGTCATGGTACGTTCAATAAGGAGAAAAACTTTGTTCCCCGTTGGATGCTTCGTCCTTGGTCTTCCTTCAACTCATCACAGGTGGTCCCCCAAATCAAGGCTTTCTGGGTTCTGTGGATAAATTAGAAGACCTCACCAGGGAAGGAGGTGTTCTTTGGAATTTCTTTCTTACACCCTTGGACCTTTTAAGTGCTTGAAAATGTCTATCCCCCAACCAGGCTTCCAGAAAACTTGACCCTCCAAGTCATGGACCCTGACAAATGTTCTTACTCCCCACTATTCGATTCTGATCAAGGGAGTTGGGTTGGAGGATGTGGCAGAACGACCTGAGACCCCCATAGTGACACTCACCAACAAAGGAGAGGTGGGGGGTTCGCCCTTCCACCTCCTGCCCATAGGTGTCCCCAAGGTTGACCTTCAGGGGCTTCTAGGAGGAAGGTCAGGGCTTCCACCCTCTAAAAACTCAGCTGGTGGGCCACCCGCCCCCTCCACCGCGCTGGCATCCTGCTCACGCTCCACCTGACCTGCGACAGCCCTGAGCACCTGTCGCTCCTGCTCGGATTCTCCACTCAGCCATTCGCCGGCACAACCCAAGTGACTTCTGTTGCCATTCTGACCACCGGAGGCCTGAAGAGAACCTTCTGGCTTGGCCTTTGGGCCCCGAGACGTGGAGGCCAGCAACCCCACCGGCTGGGGGCCTCGTGGGGCCTTCTGAAGTGACCCATCTCGTCTTGAGCCCGGCCCTTTCTTCCCCATCGCTGGCTTCTTCTTGGCATCTTCTGACTCGACAAGGACGTATGAAACGGGGCCCAAGCTCACCTTCTTCTTCTTTCTCACAGGCGCAGGGCTCTTTGCCAAGGCCCCGCCCATGGCCTTCTTCTCTGGGGGGCCCTCCCGACCGCCACCTTGGTCTGACTGCGAAGCAACCCCAGGGCTCACGGCTTCTGACGGCGCGTCATGGGATGAGCTGCTGGGAGCCCTCCAGGCACATTTTGCCATGGGCTTCTTCAAGGCCGACTCCTCCTGCTTCACACGTAGCTTCCTTTTGCTCCTGATGGAATCGGAGACCTCCATGTTTTCAGCCCCAGCAGCCTCAGGATCCTCCAAGGAGGCCGAGCTGTTGAAACGGCGGCCTCTGGGCTTCCTCCAGAGCACGGATTCCTGCTTGGGTCTTTTTTTCTGCTTCTTCTTCCTGGAGCGACTTTTAGCTCCAGCCCTACGAACCAGAGGTTTCAGAGGGTCACCTTCGTCTACTGGGTCGTTGCAGCTGCCAAGATTCTCCATCTTCAAAGCGGAACCTATTTCGGCAGCCCACCCTGGCTTCTTCACCTTCCTCCGCGCCGCTGAGGCTGAAGCTACCTGGTCATCAGCCCCTTCTTGAAACCCGGCTTCTTCGCGGCTGCGGATCTCAGCATCCATGTAGAAGACGATCTGCACCACTGCCCCCAAGAGCACCCCCAAAGTGTCTGCCCAGTTCTGTGGAGGCCGATTCTGGGGCCGTGAGGGCTGGCCAAGCTGGAGCAGGCGGACCACATCCTCCCAGGTGCGCCCCTCGGAATCCAGAAATTCATTCAGATTTTTTAAAAACTCAGCATCCTGGGTGGGGTCTCTACAAATCACTCTCCAGACGCCCCCCCTTCCTGGGAACTCCCGCGGGATGGCCCTGAGATTCACACCCTCTCCCACCTCAATCAGGGCAGCTTTGGCATTCTCTTCCCGCAGGAAAATCTTATTGAGCACAAAGTATGGGCCCAGCGGGGAGAGGACCCTATTCAAAGTCTCCTCAATTTCCGCTTGACCACAGTCCTCGGGGATGCCCGTGACCAACAGGGACCTATGGATGTCCACTTCCATTCCCCGGCACCAGTCCTCCAGAAGGTTCATGGCCATGGTCACGGACACCTAGCGTCTCTAATCCCACGTGCACTCGACAGTCTATAAGGTGGCCGAAGGAGGCAGCGGTCCCCAGATATTAATCCTGTAAGGTGACAGGAGAGGGAGGTCAGATTCCCCAGAAGACGACCAGGCTCAGAGATCTCAGCGGCCCCCCTGCGCTGCGGGCCTACAGGCCTCCTCGCGCTTTCCCAGGCCCCTCCTCCCCAAACCGGGCCCCGGGTGCTCACAGGTGTCCTGCGACCGGCCAAAACCTGCGCTCGGCCCTGCCCCAAAGCCTGTCCCGCGGCCTCCCGGCAAGATCTCGCAGCCCCGCCCCCGACCCCGATCGGTCCGGGGACAGGTCGCCGGGATGCCGCCGCTCGCCAGGAGCCGGCTCGGCCCACCCAGGCCGGCTGCTCCCCGGGAACGGGCCGAGGAGGGGGCGTCTGCCCCCGCTCCGGGCCCGGCTGGTCACGCGTCGTCTCCTCCGGATCCCGGCAGCTGCGCGGAACCGGGGCCGGCGTCGCAGCGCGCGCTTGCGCACTTGCGTCCGCGCCGCTCCCGCGGTCGCCATGGCAACCGGCCAGCGCTCGGGATGCGCCCTCCCGCCTGGGGAGCCCAGCGCGAGAGTTGGGGTGGGGGCGTTCAGCAGCTCCTTGAGCAGAGGGTCTGCGCGTTCGTCGATTGTCCCTCCAGACGCACTCTTTCCACACTTCAGTTGAACGTGGGCCTCGGGGACCCGGGCGGAGTGTCCTGACTTCCACGATGGCAACCAACTAGTCCTCCTAACCTCTGCCTTTCTGCTGGGTTCTGCCCATGGGAACCCTGGGAATCACCAGAAACCAGAGGGCGAGAGGAAAGAGCCGCTTAACCGCCCCCCCCACCCCTGAGTTCCTCTAACAAACAAAGCCGCAGCTCCTGACAGCCCTTTCATTCGCTCACCATTATCCTAGTTCCAGAAATATCCAGGAGCTTCTAGAAACTCCCACCTTCCGCCCCACATGCCCTTCACGCCTGGGTATAGTGCCTCGCCTCTCCTTGCTGGCTTCCTCAGCTTGCTGCCCACAGGCAACACCTTTGTTGATCGTTAATGAAGCGCTTCTCAATGACTCCTTAGAGGTGCTGTTTCCTGTCAGGACTCAACCATACACCTGGCAATGCTGCTGAATGGCTGCGCAGCCTGGGAGACTTTGAGCTCTCCAAGCTCCCTCCTCTTTTCCCTAAAAGGAATACCAATAAAAACCTTCCTGATCAGCACTCTGAAGGTTCAGGGACATCACATATGAAAGATGCAGCGAAGTACAATTGTGGCCTAAGTATTCAACCAAAATCTGTGATTTGGATTCCATTTTGGAATTGGGGCCTTTGCAAGACCAAATAGCCAAATGCGGCTCCGCTGGTATCCCTGAACTTGGGTGGGATCGATCCTTTGAGTTTGAGGCCTGACTGTGCTTGCCCAAGGTCCCATGATATTTCATGAAAAAAAAAAAAAAAGACATGTCATTCATATTGTTAAATCTGGATATATCATTCCAATAAACACTCCAGCTATAACTAGAGTTTTGAAATCTTATGTAAAAAAATAAAAATAAAAATCTTATGTACCTCACCTGTGGAAATTCTATTAATCAGCTGAAGAATGAATGTGTATCATTGCACAGTGGTTTTAAAATGTGGCTGTAAGTTTTTTGATATTCCTATTGAAAGGTGGTGATCTACGTCCCTCTTATTGAATGTGAGCAGACCTGTAAATTCTTTAACCAACAGAGAGTGTGGTCAAGGGGAAATGATTGGGCCAAGAGCATCACGGAAGGGAATCTGTGTGACTTCTCATGTAATAAAGGGCCATGCGACTTCTTCCTTGTTTGTTGAGACACTCCCATTCTTGGATCCCTGAGCTCCAAGTAAGAAGACGGTCAACTAGCCTCTGGCCGCCGTATTGTGAGGAAGCTCAAGCCAACTGGCGAAGCCACATGTGTGTGCTCCGATCGACAATTCCCAGCTGAGCCCAAACTTCAGACCATCTTGGCCCAGGCACCAGACATGTGAGTAAGGAAGCTTCTAGATGATTCTAGCTCCCAACCATTTGACTCACTCCCAACCATTTACATCTTCCCAGTTGAGGACCAGCCATCATGTAGCAGACACAAACCTTCAGTGCTGTTCCCTGTGTGAATTCCTGACACACAGAGTCAATGAATGTATCAAAACAGTTGTCTACACTGCCAAATCTTGGGGTTGCCTATTAGGCAGCAAGAGATCATTAGAGGGACGCCTGGGTGGCTCAGTTGGTTAAGCAGCTGCCTTCGGCTCGGGTCATGATCCCAGTGTCCTGGGATCGAGTCCCACATCGGGCTCCTTGTTCTGTGGGGAGCCTGCTTCTCCCTCTGCCTCTGCCTGTGCTCTCTCTCTCTCTCTCTGACAAATAAATAAATAAAATCTTTAAAAAAAAAAAAGAGATCATTAGAAGATCCTGCAAAGGTGAGCTACAATGAGGATCAGTGATGATTGATAAAGCCTTACTACAAAAGAAAAGAAAGCAACAGCCTTAAATTGGCTCCTCAAAAAAGATTCCCTGAAACAGCTTTTTCAAGCAGGACACAAGGATGCACTTTCATGGGATTTTCAGTTCTGTGGGATTTCAGTGAAATAGCATCATTTTCAGTGAAATAGCATCATCACCATCAACCAGATCTTCCAGCTTGTGAGCTGAAAGGGAAACAAATTTTCTACTGTAGTCAGTTATTTTTAGCAAAGAAGGAAATTTTTTTTTTTTAAGATTTTATTTATTTATTTATTTGACAGAGAGAGAGATCACAAGTAGGCAGAGAGGCAGGCAGAGAGAGAGGAGGAAGGAGGCTCCCTGCTGAACAGAAAGCCTGATGCGGGGCTCGATCTCAGGACCCTGGGATCATGATCTGAGCTGAAGACAGAAGCTTTAACCCACTGAACCACCCAGGCACTCCAACAAAGAAGGAAATCTTAATAGTTTGGTGATATGTCACCATCAACAACACTGGTCAAAAATGTCTTGTTAGCCATCTGTGCTACTAAGTGACGCTAGTGAATACATTTTGAAAAAATAAAGTTGTGATATGAATTTAAAGATTTTGATAACATTTCAGATTTGTTCCTATGTTGCCTGAAGTTTATTCTATAATGGCGATCTTTGCCTGTGACCAAATACTCAGCCACTCAGTATTTTGTCAAAATGTGTATTTGGTCTGGACACACAGTCAGCTCTTTTTATTATTGTAACAGGAGTCCCGAGGGGCCTTCCCACTGTTGAGCAGACTTTTCTTTTATGCTCTTTCCAGTGAACCAGGATGGTTGAACTGGTGGGTCCCAGAAAGCACCAAGAGGGTATAGCTTAACTGCTACCAAATGGGGTAATTTCATTAGAAAATTCTGGCAACTTGTAATGAAATCTAGCGCTAACACAGGCAGCTGTTGTAAATTTGCTGATTGAGAATAGATCAATTGAGAAAGCACAAAAATGCCCAGCATTGATGAAGAAAAGAGCAGCTAGAACTCTCATACAGGTACATGGCTGGTGACAATGTGAATTTTGGAAAACTCTTTAGCTGTGTCTACTAAAGCAAAATGTACAAAAGCTCTACAACCTAGGAACTCCAATCCCAGATGCATATACCCAACAGAAATGTGCTCACTAAAGGCCGTGGGGGTTGGGGGGGAAGGATATTCATTGCAACACTAGTCATAAGAGCTGTGATCTTGAAGCTACCCAACAGAAGGGATAATTGTGGCATGTTCCCATAATAAAATACTACTCTGTTAGAAAGGATGAGCTACAACTATACTCAACAGTGTGGACAAATTTTGCAACTATGATGTTATGCCAAAGAAACCAGACACAAAAGCATGTATGGTATGACCCCATTTATTACATGAAGTTCAGGAGACAGACAAAATTGATCTAGGCTATTAGAAGTCGGGACAGTGGTTTCCTGTGGAATGTCCTGATGACTTGAATTAGTGAAATCAGCAAATGAGAAAGAATAGATAGGTTAGAGTCTCGGAGATACCAGCCATGAGCTTCAAGTTGTCTCTCCCAGTGGAGTCATATGAACAGCGCTGACTTTTTCCAGCAACAATGGGTGAGAGCACATCACACAGTATTGCCCACAGGTCAGCTCACCTGAGCCACAGTGTGCACCATGTTTATTTCTGGGTCTATCACATAGGCGTGGAGCCCCTGTGTAGCTGAGCTCACTCTGCCTCTTTGACTCCAGAGGTCAAAGTGATAGTGCACGGCTCAAGGCCTCCATGATGAATGGTGTTGTTAGTATGGGATTCTCCAAACGCTTAGAGGTCAACTAGGAGTGGGTCAAGAGCCAGTCATTTTGGGGCACCTGGGTGGCTCAGTCATTAAGCATCTGCTCAGGTCATGATCCCAGGGTCCTGGGATTGAGCCCTGCATCGGGCTCCCTGCTCGGCAGGATGCCTGCTTCTCCCTCTCCCATTCCCCCTGCTTGTGTTCCCTCTCTCACTGTGTCTCTCTCTGTCAAGTAAATAAATTTTAATAAATAAATAAAATCTTTTAAAAAAAAGAGCCAGTCATTTCCTTGGAATGTGCAGGTTTGGACAACCCAGGCCTACTGAGTTAACCCCTTAATGCATGGATGCCTATCAGTGTATCCATCAGGGATCGATCAGAGAAGCAGATTGCTAAGTGTTCCAAAAACACATATAAGATACATAAATAAATGTTTGAGATTAAAGATTTTAATTTGGGGTGCCTTGGCGACTTACTTTGTTAAGCGTCTGCCTTCGGCTCAGGATATGATCCCAGGGTCCTGGGATCAAGTCCCAGGTCGAGCTCCCCGCTTAGCAGGGAGCCCCCTGCTTGTGCTCCCTGTCACGCTCTTTCAAATAAATAAATAAAATCTTTTAAAAATTAAAAAAACACAAAATTTTAATTTGTTTTTAAATATCCAAAGGAGGGGCGCCTGGGTGGCTCAGTGGGTTAAGCCGCTGCCTTCGGCTCAGGTCATGATCTCAGGGTCCTGGGATCGAGTCCCGCATCAGGCTCTCTGCTCGGCAGGGAGCCTGCTTCCCTTCCTCTCTCTCTCTCTGCCTGCCTCTCTGTCTACTTGTGATCTCTCTCTGTCAAATAAATAAATAAAATCTTAAAAAAAAATAAATATCAAAAGGAATATATAAATAGATATATTTGTAAACATACAATGACACATATGTATGTGTTTGTGTGTGTATCCGCACGTGTATGGGTGGGTGAAGGTGCATGTGTGTGCGCATGCGTGTGTGTGTTACATAGAGTTAGCT